CCCTGCCCGGGTGCCCGGGCCCTGCGGGGGCAGCAGCACAGAGCGGTGGCTCCGCTCTCAGCCGCGCACAAAAGCTCCGTCCCCCTTGTCATTCATTCACCTCCCGGTGCCGTCGGAAGTTTACCCTTAAAACGGGAACCGGTGCTTTCACAGAGACCCGTTTGAAAGGGGCCTCGTTGTGGGCTGATGAGCTGGTTTGCTGAACAAAATAAAGTAAGAAAGGGGGAATAAAAAGGAGAGAACGGCAACGTGAGCTCGTTACTGGGGCCAGTCCCCACCAGTGCTGAGGGCTCAGGTGCTGGGCTGCCTGTGGCACACAATGGGGACAGGAACAATTGCCTTGGCACAGGGGACTGGAACAGATCTTTGCCTTTAATGTTTCCCATTTAGTGCAGGGTGGAGGGGAAAGGAGGGGATGGCACTGGGATGTGAAGTGCCAGCCTGGAGGAACAAAATGTGGGGCTGCTTCCTCCCAGCACAGACTTTTGGGGAGGCAGGAGGGGTTCCTGTCAGCATCTCAAGCCCTAAAAGGCCCACGGTCTGTGGGCATCAATGTACTCACCTTGACTCCAAACCCCAGCCCAGCAAGGCTGGGATTTTTGGGATGGCAACAGCTTTTCTCTCTCCAGTCTTACCCCTGAATGGCATATCCTGCAATTCTCCCCGTGGCCCTGCCACCCTTCCTGCCTCCAGCCGATCCTATCTGCCCCGTTTGTGTTGCAGCAAAATGACTCCAAAGGCCAAAGGGGGGGGGGTAAGAAACCAGCAAGTGAGATGCCAAGACCCCCCCCCAAGTACCCTGAGCCTCTTCCTGGTAGCTTGTGTGGGGTCTGGCTTTGCAGAGAAAGGGGCTGCTGGCATCACCCCACCAGCAAAAGGGGAAGAAAAGCCAAATAACCACCTGGCAAAAGTGTGGTGGACTGGACCAAGCTTTCTCCCCACAACAGATCCTGCCTGTAGCTGGAAGGGTTTCTGCCCACAGGGTGGCTGGGGGGAAGGCAATGCTGGCAGCCAGACTTCCCAAAGGCAGGGGGGATGTTTTCCCCATGGTTCAGGCAGGGACCGAGGTTACCTGAAACTCAAGCCCTTTGCAAAAATACTGGAGAGCACAGGAGGCCAGAAAGCCACAAACACACCAAGTCTCCAGCACTGCCATGGTGCTGCCCCGTGCCACAGCATCCCTGTCCTGTGCCACAGCATCCCTGTCCTGTGTCACAGCATCCCTGCCCCATGTCACAGCATCCCTGCCTCGTGCCACAGCAGCCCTGCTTTGGGGCTAATCCTGCCCCTCGACTCCGGGCTGCTCCCAC